TTCTTCCTCTAACAGAATCTGACAATTTGAGAGAACCTTGAGTTCTAGGCATGTGTGCGGACCATTTTCATTTATATAGTGCTCTGTGAACACAAATTAGTTAGCATAAATCAGTTAAATGACGAAAAATTAGGTGTCTATTTACTTGTGACCACTCAGTGTATATGTATGTATAAGAGGCTAATGTTTGTCTCTCTCCAACACTCCTCCCGCAAGTTAAGTCTGATTTAACAAAGTTTCATTACTACAGAATGAGGCTTTAACGCTACAAATCTAGTTTCGATACCCGAATTGGGCGGAGCATAGGTGGTCCATTTTGCTTTTTGTTTACATCAAACAAAATTAGGGGCAGCTAGTGCAGGTAGCTCTTGTGTAACAGTTTTTGCGAAAATCTGGAACAATTTTTTTATGTAGATATGGTGATGTTAAAAGAATCCTCTTCAGTGTATTGTTTCTTTCACGAGTTGGTTTTTTTAATAGTACACAAAATTACAAGAACGTTTGCGACTAACGCGAATAGCAATATAGTATATGGCAAGTTTAAAGATTTTAATGTGGATGTTTTTCCAATGTAGTTAGTCAAAAGTTTCAAGTTTTAATTTTCACTATAGAAAAACTATTCGGTTGAGATGAACAGAATCACAACGTAAAGAATTAGTTTGATGACACTAATTGTTTACTGTAGAAAAGACCGCAAGACGTGGAAAAATAAACGCAAATTTCAAAACAAAAACTTTAATATTATTTGCAACGTTTCGGACAGAAGCCCTTCGTCAGTCAGTTTAAACCGTGTTACATAGAAAAAAGGCTTAGACAGAATCGTTTTAACACGGTTTAAACTGACTGACGAAGGGCTTCTGTCCGAAACGTTGCAAATAATATTAAAGTTTTTGTTATAGACGTGTGTTTTACCAGTTTTGAACACTTTTTTTTTTAATTGTTATACGGATTACATTGTTGAAATATATACTGCATATATACTGATAATGTATATTCCTCTAGCGTATAGATTTTTCATTACGTTATTGGTCTTTGCTAGATACGCTACGTTGTTTTAATTAACACTATCTCATAGAGCTATTTTAATCTTTCGAAGACGCTCTTGTATTTACAAGCTTGAAATATCATGAATGACTCACTTAAATATAAAAGCGAAGGAATAAGATTAATCTATTGATACTTACCATCTTTTGACATTTTGCCAAGAACTTGCCTTTTCTTTTTCTTTTTTTTTGAAAACGTTTTTTTATGCCAACGAGGTCCAATACCAGCTAATGTTTTAGTGACGTCATCTTCCTTAAATAACAGTAAAACATCCTAGCTAGACCGGATGACAGATTGTTTACTGGCTAGTAGATAAACACACGCTTGAATAAAACTTGTACAGACAAAACCGAAGAACGCGATGAAATCGTAGTGGGAACGTAATATTTGTCTAAATAATCATTCATAGAGAAACTACCTGTACAGAACATCAAGTTGAATGATCATAAACGATTCATACATAAGAAAATAAAACCAAAACCTGCCGTGTTCAAGACAAATAAGCAAAATAAAGAACATAGCCGAAACGAAATGCAAAAAAATGAATATATAGAAATAATGAAAATTGACAAAACGAATAAAATATACGACTCGTCACATTTTAGTCAAAATATAACTGAGTGTTTTTGAAAATTAGGGCCATTTTTATCTTTTTTCTTTTTAATTGTTTTTTTTTATTTTTGTTAATAATCCTCAAAACACTTCTTGCAAGTTTGTTTTGCTTACTTGTTCTGGTCTTATACCAGCCTTCTGGTATAGTTTAATACTGGTAATTTTAATAAAAATTACAAGTAACTCTTAAAATATCTAAATATTGATTTCCGCAAGCATAGATACTGTAGCTGCACTATTGTACCAACAATTTCTGCCGGCTTTTGTAAGTAGACATTGAATTATTTAAGTAGATTATTTTTCAAAGTGTATTTACACAATGTGTTACACTTGTTGACCTTACTTCTTCTGGACGTCTGCTGCTTCTTCGTCTTTCACTTTGAGGTCAATAAACTCATTAAAGAGTCCAAATTACCTCAAAACTGAAATATATTGAAGGAGAAAAATCTGTAAAAAGAATATATGTCAAAATATTTTCACTTTCTCCATTTTTTAAATTTAAAACTAACCATTTCATCCAGCATTTATATGATGATTTTTTTATTAGATCTAAAGAACTGATCAAACATGCTATTCTGGATAACGATTTCATGAAAAACCTAGAACCAGTACAGATCAGAGAGATTACAGACTGTATGTATCCTGTAGAGTATGCTCAAGATAGCCTCATCATCAAGGAGGGAGAAGTTGGATCAGTTGTCTTTGTCATGGAAGGTTAGAAGTTCTTTAAAAAATGTTTATAACTGTGAATTTTATAAAACTATATTAGTTACAAGATATAAAGAACTAAACAAATTTAGGGGGATTTAGTAAAAAAATATTCATAAAAGGTGTTTTTTTAAATAAAAATGTTGAAATTCAAATTTAAGCTATGTGTCAAATAACATGAACATACCATTAAAACTCGTATATTTTTTTATAATCTACTAAACAAAAGTACACCATTGTTAGTACAACAGCAGACCACTTGTAAGGTACATATTTGATGGTTATTAAAGTATATTTTTATTGTGTTACAATATTAAAGTTAATGAACTTACAACATTTTAACTTTCTTTTACCAAGGGATTTTATATTTGCAATTTTGGTTTTTTACTGAGAAATTTTAACAAGAAATAATTTAGAGGTTAAAAATATTTTATTGTTACTATTATCAACAATTATTTGTGTTTGCTGTTCTATCAGCAGGTTCAGCATGCATTCTTATCTTTTGCAAGTAGCATGTAGTTGTTGAAAAAACAAATACAAAAATTCTGTATATTAATTGTTTAAAGTTTTTGTTTTTTTCCAGAGGGTAAAGTGGAAGTTACAAAAGAAGGAAAGTTCCTCTGTTCTTTAGGACCTGGGAAGGTTTTTGGTGAATTAGCCATTTTGTACAACTGTACACGAACTGCAACGGTTAAAGGTAAAGAAAAACAGCTTTTTCCTTTGATATAACATAATTATCTTATGTCTGAAAATACTGATACCAGCAAGGGTAAGAAAAAAACAAAAACATAGGGTATTTAATTCCACTGGTTTGTCCATTAATATTGTTACA